ACAGTGCATTAAACAAATTGCATGTGATCTTTAATCTTCAGCCCTCTGCTTGTGACTTAGAACCATCTTCCCACTGTTAAAATAAAGAATAGACTTTGCTCTTTAGATTGGCTTGGGGTTTAAGAACATTTGGGTAGAATATATACAAGACTCTCATTATATTGTAGAATGTCTGTTCCTTCTGGTTTCTCCCTATTTTTTTCTTTTAAACATCTTTCAAAATCCTGGCACATCAGTTACTGCAGATTAACCAATGTTGACTTTATTTTAGCTCATCAGTCCTGGAGGTTGAAGCTAGGGCCTTGCACATGTGAGTACACACCCATACCCCTGGTCCCTGGTAGAATATTATTAATAAAAGTTTCCTGGTGGTGCACAATTGATGGCGTACCGTTTATTATGTCATTATAGTTTCACTGTCTTAGAAACCCTCTATGTTCTATCATATCTTCTTTTTCTTCAACTTCTACCACCTATGGGCTTTTTCATTGTCTCCTTTCGCCTTTTCTTCAGATTGTCAACTGGAAGCGGTCTGTAGCCTTTTTAGATTGCCACGTGTCACTTGGTAACGTACATTTCAGATTCTTCCATGTCTTGGTAACTATTGGGTCTCATTGCTGAGTACCAAAACGTGTTTCTTCCCTTACCTGTTGAAGGACATCTTGATTGCTTTCAAGTCTGGACAATGATGAATGAAGTCAGCACAACTGTTTTGTTTAGAGACATGAATTTTCAGTTCGTTTGCGTAAAGATCGTGTGATTATTGGATCATGTGATAAGAGTATGCATTGTTTCGTAAGAAATAACCAACCTGTCTTTCAAAGTGGCTGCAGCATTTTGCATTCCCTCCGGCCCAGAGTGAGAGGTCCTGTTGCTCTGTATGTATGTGGTGGTGTTTTTGTTTGGACTGTATAATAGGTGGAGGAATTCATGCTCACCTCCACTTTCTCCTCCACTGAGTGTTTTTCACGTTTATTTACCATTTGTGTACCTTCTTTGGTGGGATGGCTGTTTGAATTTTCTTTTGCTCATTTTTCAAAACAGGCTTTTAAAACTATTGTGGTAAAATGTACATGGCACAGAATTTACTACTGTACCAGCTTTTAAATAATTTCGTACACTTTAGGGGGTTGAGTTCGTTCACAATGTTGTGTACTGTCTGTGCTGTCTAGTTCCAGAGATTTCCCGGCATTCCAAACTGAGATGGTCCAAATAACATAGTGGCTCCACTCCCATCAAACCCTAGACCCTGGCAATCTTTCTTTGTTTATTTGATGTCCTAAACGTTTCTAGAGTCATACAACACTTAGCATTTATATCTGGCTTATTTTATGTAGTGTGGTGTTTTCAGGGTTCATTTGTGTTAGACCAGATACTAAAGTTAGATACTAGTTTCTTTTTATGACTGAGTGTCTTATTGTTAAATTTTAATTATTAGCAACCTCCTCTAAGAAGCACGATTCCTTCTCCTGTGAAATCAGGGAAACGATTTTTCCTCTCCTTTTTTTCCTTTCCCTGCAGAATGACCAGGAACACTTGCATATGACATGCTAATTTGTCAAGTGTCTCTCCCAAGAACATTCCGTCATGTTTCTATGTATCCCTTTCAGAGCAGCCATTTGTTTCAGGTCAGCGTGCTTTGGGGGAGCAGGTATTTTTTTTTAAGCTCCACTGTTAATAATTTACTTGACATAGAATTCAGCTGTTTTAAGTGGCTTGAGGAACAATTACCGGAATCCAGCTGATGAAAATTGTTACCCCGAAAGCTTCTTCATGTCTGTTTTGCAGGTGTCTTCCATTTTGAAGCCGTACACAGCCACTAAGTCCCTTTCCCTGTGTCTAGAGTGGTCATTTCTGAGAATCGGAGCTAAGCAGACTTATAGATTACAAGTCTTTATATTCAGGCCCCTTCAGTTAGTGTGTTGGTTTGAGGCTCTTCTGTGTCTGAGATGAGTTTTGGTCATTAGCTTTTTTGAATGGTGCTGCCAAGAATGTTTACATACATGCCTTTATGTTTTCACCTCTAATTTTGTGTCTTACCTAGGAGTAAAATTGCTGAATTATATGGAAAACATAAAGTATGATTTAAACTCAGGTTTAAAGGAAACAGGTTTAACTTTTAGAAGGCTGACAGACCATTTTCCACAGGAGAAGAGCCCTATTACACATCAGCAGTGTACGAGCCTCACCAACACTTCCAATGATCTCTTTTTGATAGTAGCAGACTACTGGAGTAATGTATCTCACTTGGTTCTAATTTGGATTTTGCTTGTGACTAATGATGTTGAGCATCTGTGCATGCATTTCCCGGCTATTCGTGCTCCTTATTTGTTGAAATGTGTATTCTCACATATACTATGCTCTGTTTCGTCCCATAAACCTTTTGATTATGAAGTGAACAGTAATTCATTTTATCCATTTGTCTTCTTTGGGGACTCTTTACTTCTATTTGCAACAGTTTCACTTGTATTTCAGGGCCCATGGGTTTAGGAGATTGGTGTTTTAGGGGGCAGTGATTCAGCCCTCTGCTCTAAGTAGGTCAATTAGCATCTCTGCTGGTGGATCTCACAGGTAGGCATTCTCGTCTTTAGACAATGACCCAAACCCCTAGAGCTGACAAAATTAGAAGATTGTTATGACAACAGAGCTGTCGGAGAAAGCAACTCCTGAAGGAGATTGTATTATCCTGTCAAGGCCATGGCATTCCCGAAAATTACCCAAAGGAGGGATGCCATTATAACCTTATAGTCAAAGTGCTTCTTTTAGATTTATACTAATAATTGGATTTGTTTCTAATTTTGAAAATCACAACTTAGTACATTTCAACTGATTATCTATCTATCTATCTACCTATCTATCTATCTATCTATCTATCTATCCATCTAATCTATCTTTCTGTATATTTTGCCAGTAAAGAAAGCCTTCATGCACAAATTGAGAGATTGTATTCTGCTCTTGCCATGGATTTTAAAGCCTTGGACTCTGCTAAGGACTTTGTCAGAGAGTTAACAGCTACAGAAGTCAAGGGAAAGGGTCCCCAATGACGTCATCTGTGACTGGAGCACGGCAGTGAGAAATGAATGGGGGAGTCTGCAGCCTAGGTCATAGATCTCCTGAGCGCTGGAAAAGACTTCGGGACTCATCCTCATTGTCATGGATGGCCATGGGCAGTTATTGTATGATCCGATTTGTGTTTTAAAAGGATTATGTAGATCAGGTATGGTGGTGCATGCCTTTAATCCAAACACTTAGGAGGTAGAGGTAGGCAGGAGGATAAGAAGTTCAAAGTCATTTTTAGGGGTACAGTGAGTTCAAGGCTAGCAGGGTTATGAGAGACAAGATAGTGGGACAAGATGGGACAAGGAACCAATTAGGGGACTGTTGGGATAGAAATTAGAGCCATGGCACCTTGGACCAGGACGGTAACATCAGGTGCTTTGTAAGTAGAGCTGGTATAATTTGCTGCTTAATTGAATGTGGACTAGCAGAGAGAAAAAGAGAAATCAGGATGGCTTAAGATGCTTTTGACCTGAGTTACGTGAATGATGCTACTGTTTTCTGAAATCAGGAACATGTCAGTAACATTAGGTTTGGAGAGAAAATTAATGGTATGAGTGAATGGTCTAGTTCAGAGGCAAATATCAATGACACTGGCATACATAATTCATGAGTATATACTCACACCAGAGAAGTATACAGAGTAAAGGCTTCCTCCCTCTCTCTTCCTCCTCCTCCTTCTTTCTTCCCCTCCCCCATCCCTCTCTTTCTCCTTCCCCCACTTCTCTTTTTCATTCTCACTCTCAGTTCTGAGATCACACTCAGGATTTCAGATGGTGGGCTAGCTGCCCTATACCTCTGACTTAGACCCACAACCTCAGGATTCTATTCATTCATTCATTCATTCATTCATTCATTCGGAATGCTCCTTCTCTTATCTGTTTTCTGTGTATTAAAAATGGGATTTTACTATATAAATTTTTGTTGCACTTTTCCCATTACTTTGTTATTTTATTTTTGCTAGGTCAGTACATGTATACCCTGCATTTCTTTTGATTATTTGAGAGGGTTGGATTATTGGATTATCTTAGGTTTTCAGCTAGAGAAAGTGCCGGAATAATCATTCCCATGTCAGCTTTTGTGTGTATGAGTCCCAACATCTGAAAGATTCTGGGTCTGTTGCGGACTCCAGTTTCTATAGGTTTTTTATCAGCCATTATTTAGGTCCTTTATTTCCCTGTAGCTAATTGGTTTGGTGATTGTGAATATGTGCTAGATTATGTTTCTGAAGCTTAACTTTTTAGTTTAATTGGAAAAATTCTAAATAATCTGCCTTTTGTGGCCCAGATACTGATTCTGAAAGAATGAGGCCCCTTCCTCACCATGTGTGTGTAATGGTAGGGTGGGCGATACAGGCATCCTTACTAGTCTTGGGCTTGTCTAGTATCTTTTCCGAGATGCAGGTCCTTCTAAGTACAATGGGAAATGAGCCTTACTTTGTCCATATTGAAAAGACTCTTCCAAACTCAAACTGGGGGGCCCAGCAGGAAAAGCATACTTGTTAGGATGAGGACAAATAACATTAGTAGCTAGAGAATTTTTTATAAATTTTTTATAAATTTTTAAAAATTTTTTATAAATCAGTCACATTTTGTAGAAGCCCAGAGTGGAGGAAGAGAGGAAACAGTAAGGAAAACAGCTTGGCAGTGGGGGCCAGAAGCTGTCACAGCGTGTTTATGTCTGGCTCGTTTCACCTTGGTTGGAAGGCACAGAATGCTGCAGAGTGTGAGTTTGGAGACCAGGCAGTTGCCTACTATATTTAGAAAGTGGAGATTCCTGGGGTTGGGTGGGGTGTTCATGTGCATGTGTGTGTGTTTTCTTTGCCAGATGGACAAAGGTTTGGGGCTTGAGAATTCTGGAACAAACCTTATTAGCTAGCTCCTCCGGGCCAACTCAGTAGCTGCGCTTCGACTCCTGCTGCTGCCACACAGGAAAAGCCAAAATAAACTCTGTTTTGTATGGTTTGTAAAGATACCACAGGTAGGTTTCAATGCTCATTTGATCTTGCTATCATACTGACTTCTATGTTTACAGCAGGCTTGTTGGAACACTTTGAAAATATGAACTGCCATATCCCTGGTGGCTATAGCACTGGCACATCCTGTGGCTTTAGCTAGACTTCCAGGCAGCCAAGCTGAACTTTGGCTGTGTTTTTATGTCAAGGTCACTGTTGAGCAGATAGGGCCCAAATTGCAACAGACTTCTGACTGTGTATTTCATTGTTACACTTGTGGGTCAGCTGTGGACAGAGAAAAATGAAACTAAAGTGACTTTTGTTCATGCCTGTTTCTTTGTCAGAGCTGATCTAAATAGTTAACACCTATAAATGGCACAGATCAAAAGACAGAAAGGACTTGGAGTATTCCTCCAACCCGTGTCTCCATCCCCAATTCCACTGAAAGCAGCATTTCACCAGTGTCTTGGATATTTTTTAATGAAATTTATGAATGTGTCAGCAAATGTATATGTATTCATTTGTACACTTATATACACTTATGCATTTAGAAGAATCCCATATGTAATTTTTGTGTCTAATTGTGATGTATGTTACATGTTCTGCACTCGTGCATGCATTCCATCATATGGATGAAGCACAGCTTTTTCTAACCATTCCCCCATTACACAGTTAGATTATTTCCAGTTGGGCTGGAGGTATAACTCAGTTGGTAGAGTGCTTGCCTAGCATGCATGAAACCCTGAGTTTGATCCTCATTTACGCATAAAACTGGACATCATAACATATGTCCATGATCACAATATTTAGAGGGTACAGGCAAGATAACCAGAAGTTCAAAATTATTTCTAGCTACTTAGAGAGTCCTGGCTAATCCCTGGACTACCTGAAACTTTGTCTATATCTATCTGTTTCTCTCCCTATACACACACAGACATATATATATACACACACACACATATATACATGTACATATGTATGCAAACACATGTGCATACATGCACATGTATAGAAATAAGCATAACACATACACATGTATATAAACATGTGTATGTTTATATACAGATGTATATAAACACATATATACACACATGTATTTAAACATGTTCACATACACATATATGCATACACACATATGCTTTGAGGTACATACCTCTGGCATGGAACACAGAAGTAATCAGATCTGTAGGATGAGTTCCTCCTGTGGAATTGCTCAGCTAAAAGCACTGTGTGTATTTTCTACCGTGATAGATACTCTCAGGGAGTTAGTCCAAGAAATTCTGAGTGAACTGTGTTTCCTGAGCCTTGATTTTGAGAGTAGAAAAGGAGCTTCTTTGCTATGTAGTGTAGCATCCATGTAACAAAAAAATTACTGTAATTTTTCTTCATTTCCTTCTCCCTGGTTTGTATATTAAAAGCTATAGTGAAAATTATTCCACAGAATGTGACATAGGACGAGTCACCCAAATACAAGGCCTACTCTTACGTTCTGGTGTGGAGTTGTTGAGTTTTCACCTGGTGTAGTTCGTCTTCTATTCAGGAGGGTTGCAGGTGCTGAATCTCCTGCAAAACTTGGTGACTTTGAGCTACTGGGCGTGTCTTACGTAGTAGCTGTGAGCACGAGAATTCCTGGCGGACAAGAGATGGGGATGTTTTGTGGACCATCTCCCCATGGTGGCTTTTCCTGCAGAGCTTAGCATGTCTTTCTGATGGAAGACAGGCCTGCCACTTGTGCTTTCTGGTCTCTATGCTCAGGTACTTGGGACAGCCCCTGTTGGCCTAGAAGGCTCCATTGGTGGGTCTGTGGACCAGACACTTGTCCCTCTCCTGGTTGCTCAGCTTCTGGAAAGGAAGCCAAGGAATCACAAGCAGACCACGACCCCCTGGGTGAGGAGTGCTGGCAGTTTGGAGGATACTAGGGGAGGGAACCTCTGTTTCCTTTGGGAAAGGCTAATGAAAGCTTATCAGGTCCATAGGGGCCCGTGTTACTTATCTGCCGTTTGTAGGTCACCTCTGCTAATTATGCCTCACCTTCACCCTTCTTTATTAACTTTGAGAATGTCTATTCAAAATTGTAATTATGTCAAAAGAGAAGTCACAGGTTTGATGATTTTGGCTACTTTGTGTTCTAAAAAGAATCATTGAATCATAATCATTAAATTAAAAAGTACTGTCCTGGTGTTGGTGATACACTCCTTCAATCCTAGTATGTGGGGCAAAGGCAGACAGTTCAAGGTCAGCTTGGTCTATAGAATGGGTTCCTGAACAGCCAGACCTACATAGAGAAATCCTGTCTCAAAAATCCAAAATAAGTACTTGTCATTGTATTACTTAAAATAATCTCTTATTTCACCAGTAATATAAGATCCATTGTATGCTTAACACTGCCCTAAGGTAGAAGCATTGGAGAGAATGGACATGTTTCATGTGGTGCCTGGCAAGAAAGGTAGAGACACGATGGGCTTCACAGACAAGAATGTGGTTGTCCCCGAGTGGGGGGCTCTGTGCCAAGGAGTCCAGAAAGAGTGACAGGAAATGTGCTGTTGCAGAAATCTGCTTGACTTGGGGGAATCACTGCTTAAGCCTTCAGAGTTACGGAGTATCATAGAGAGTTCTATGGAATTTTTCAGAGGAAATGTGCTGATATGAACCAACAGGAGGATGCATACTCAACAGCGTTTGGATTGAGAAGCGATAAGGGCATGGGAGAGGAAGGAACTAGGGTGCCTCCAAAGTACCCATCAGGTCCTAGATGCTGACTGAACTCCATCCCACTCTCGTGGGTTTGTGGTGTGTGATGCAGACACAGCTGAGTGAGGCTTGTGTCTGTAGTTCTCATGGACTTGCAGGTGGAGTGGGGGTGAGCTCTGGAAGAGACCTGAGGCTTTGGGTTTCCCCAGGTGGTATTTGAGGTCCTGGAGCGAATGAATTCATAAGACCTATGTAGTAGTTCTCAACCTTAGGTGTCCATTGATGCCTGTCACCCTCCCCCCACCTCAAAGGTTTTGATGCAGTTTAAATTGTAGGCTGGGAATTGTAAAACTTCCCCAGGTGATTCTAATCTTAGGGTGCTAAGACCCTAAGAGAAGAGCGTAGGCTGAAGCTGTGGGCCGTATCACTGTGTAGCAGGTGGGTAGAAGAGTTGGTGACTAGGGATTTTGTCCTGGACATTTTGGATGAGAATGTTCCCAGAGGCCTTTGGGGTTTGGCTTTTGGAGGAGGAACTAAAGAGAGCAGCTTAGGTGCAAGGTCATAATTACTACCTGTGTAATGATATTACTAGGAAAAAATAGATGAGAACTTAGTGGCATAAGCACAATGTAAGTGAAATATAAATGGAAACTGCGTTTTTTTTTATTATCTGATTGTCCTGGCTACAAGGTGGTGGTTGTACCAAGCTTGACATGACTACAGCCATCTCGAGTTGTACCTGCCGTAATTTCCCCAGAGGGTTTTTCTACACACGTTTCTGTTGCTGGTTTGTTTTGTTTTGTTTTGTTTGTAATTTTTATTTCAAGACAGGGTTTCTCTTTTGTGTAGCTTTGGAACTTGTCCTAGAACTTGCTCTATAGACCAGGCTGACCTTGAACTCACAGAGTTCTCCTGCCTCTGCCTGGGATCAAAGGCCTAAGCCACCACCGCCCGGCTCTGCAGCATTCTTAAAAGAGAGAATGCTGTAAGATGTTCTCAGACTTTAGGCTTTCAGCCAAAAGAGATTCTAATGCTTGAGCTCAGGGGCAGGCCTGGGAATCTGTGTGGCCTATAGCTTTCTCTCTAGTGATTTGCATGTATGTGTGTGCCTGTGTGTGTGGGTGTCAGACCACACAGGAAGTCAAAATAGGCCAGAAGAGATTCTGTGTAAACCTTGTTTGTCCTTAAGTCATCTTTTCCCCTTAATGTGCCCTGATGAGTTGCCCAGCCTTTCCTTGGGCCAGCTCAGGTATCTGCAAGGTGTCAGTCAACACTAATGCAGGCCACGGGATGATGGAGTGTTCCAAGGCTGTAAATGTTTCAGCAACCGTGGCATCTCAGCTGGTGTGGCTTCATGCCTGGGATTCGGTTGTTCCTGGGCTCCGCCTGGGAGCCTGCTGGGACCCCCTGAGCACTGGGGATGGGGGTGGGGGTGGAGAGCATCTGAAAGGAAACTTTATATCTCGGAGCAGTCCCAGGGCAGCCAGCTTTCCCACAGTGAGTCCTCGCTGCCCTTGTCAGGGTTAAAGGCGGTTGGGGTCAGAGTCTGTAATTATGTCACACACTTTTTTTTTTTCTTTAAAAACATTCAAGAAGCATAGTGAGCTGGCTGAGCTGCTGCAGAGGCTTGGCATCTAGGGAGGGGCTGGCAGTTGACTGGAGGATGAGGTACCCCAAACCCAGCCAGAGCTGATCTGCCCGACCTGCCACTGCAACACCCCCAGGCCACTCATTTCTGGCAAAGGTTCCTTCCTGCCCTAGTGCCTATCTCTGTTCTGATCTCCGCAGGGCTGGGCAGAAAAGACAACAGCTGCTGCCGGGGAGAACCCAAGATGTCGCCGCGAGGACATCAGTGTTGCTCATGCTCTGCTGTTTGCTTAGGGAATCTGCGGGCTGTTCTCCCAGAGACAGGGCTTTCCTGCTTCGGTGTCTGAGTCTTACAGACATGCCTGACACAGACCTTGCCCTGGGCTGCTTATCCACTAGCTCATTGTCTACATGACTCCTGCTGTGGACAGTATGACTTTTGGGAGATGGAGGCCAGGCAGGCAGTCGGGATGCTCCTTCGGCATCTTCAGGCCACAGCTCTCAGCTGTTTGTCCAGGATTTGCCTCTGCCAGCCAGGCTGTGAGGCTGTCTGCTGGCTCTCTGACTACAGCTGCCTGAGCAGTGTGCAAGGCCAGCGAGTTAGCATGTGGCTAGTCTCCTTAGAGCAGCAACATGGCTCTCTTTGGAAAGAATTCCTTTTTCTTTTTTCTGAAGCCAGCACACTCGTAATAAGTTCCCCGACAGGGACACTGTGCTCTCTTGCATAGGAAATTGGGGTGGAACCGAT